CCGAGGAGGCCCTTCAACTTATGATTACGGAAGCATCTTCCCGCGTTGCTACTGAAGCAGTAGCACAACGCATCGCCACAACGGAAACCAACGCTCCTCCTGTGGCTCCACCCATAGCACAACCTCAGAACAACAACCAACTTGCCACGTGCAGGTTCAGGTTTGACATGTCTCAGGACGTCACCTGACGTCGTGACCGAGATCCCCTTCTAGACCCCTCGTGATGATCCTCGAGGTTATCTTCAAGATGACACTTGAGGTCGCGCCCCAGATCCACTTCGAAACCTTCAGCAAGACCCTCATCAACCAGCTCCACCTCACATGGTTCAGATAACCAAAGAGGATATTCGACATATGATTGACTAGGCCATTCAGATGTCCTACTTCAACTACATCCGATGTCATACCTCAGGTACATCAGATGTCATGCTTCAGCTACATCTGATGTCATACCTCAAGTACATCAGATGTCAACTACATCTGATGTCATACTTCGAGTACATCAGATGTCCTACTTCAACCACATCTGATGTCATACTTCGAGTACATCAGATGTTCTACTCATCACATCTGATGTCATACTAGGTACATCAGATGTCTACTCAGCTACATCTGCTGTCATACTCAGGTACATCAAATGTCAACTACATCTGATGTCATACTTCGAGTACATCAGATGTCCTACTTCAACTACATCTGATGTCATACCTAAGGTACATCAGATGTCCTACTTCAGCTACATCTGCTGTCATACCTCAGGTACATCAGATGTCAACTACATCTGATGTCATACTTCGAGTACATCAGATGTCCTACTTCAACCACATCTGATGTCATACCTAAGGTACATCAGATGTCCTACTTCAGCTACATCTGTTGTCATACCTCAGGTACATCAGATGTCAACTACATCTGATGTCATACTTCGAGAACATCAGATGTCCTACTTCAACTACATCTGATGTCATACCTGAGGTACATCAGATGCCCTACTTCAGCTACATCTGATGTCATACCTCTGGTACATCAGATGTCATGCTTCAGCTACATCTGATGTCATACTTCAGGTACATCAGATGTCAACTACATCTGATGTCATACTTCGAGTACATCAGATGTCCTACTTCAACCACATGTGATGTCATACCTAAGGTACATCAGATGTCCTACTTCAGCTACATCTGCTGTCATACCTCAGGTACATCAGATGTCAACTACATCTGATGTCATACTTCGAGTACATCAGATGTCCTACTTCAACTACATCTGATGTCATACCTCAGGTACATCAGATGTCAACTACATCTGATGTCATACTTCGAGTACATCAGATGTCCTACTTCAACTACATCTGATGTCATACCTAAGGTACATCAGATGTCCTACTTCACCTTTCAACCCCAAGTGGGTTCACATCACATCTCAAGAGACGAGTATAATCTCCCTACTCAAAAAGTAGAACATCCCCAAGGGGGTGCACATCCCATCTCAAGGAACGAGGATAATCTCCCTACTCAAAAAATAGAACACCCCTAACGGGGCGCACATCTCATCTCAAGGAACGAGGATAATCTCTTTACTCAAAAAATAGAACATCCCCAAGGGGGTGCCCATCCCATCTCAAGGAACGAGGATAATCTCCCTACTAAAAAAAAAAATAGAACATCCTCAAGGGGGTTCACATCACATCGCAAGAGACGAGGATAATCTTCCTACTCAAAAAATAGAACATCCCCAAGGGGGTGAATATCAACCACAAAAAAAAAAAAAGAAAAAAAAAAGAAGAAGATGAAGAAATAGAAGAAAAAAGAAGAAGATGAAAAAAGAAGAAAATGAAAAAAGAGAAGAAGAAAAAAGAAGAAGAAAAAAGATAGAAGAAAAAATAAGAAGACAAAAAAAAAAAAAAAGGAAAGGAGGCGCGCGTGCACAGCACGCGCGCGTGGCGTACACGCGCCAGACGCGCGCGCCTTCCCATGCACGCGCGCGCGCCTCCCAAGGCCACTTTGGAGCGCGCGCTCTCAACTAATTTGGCACAACTTTTGCTACTCTCCACCAAATTGCGCGTAAATTTCACCTCGCTTCACCAAATCGCGAGAGAATTTCAACGCGCTCCACCAAATTGCGCGAGTTCTTTAACGCACCTACCAAATTGCGTTCGCTATCAAATGGAAAATAAATAAAAAATTTATTTCTCCACGCCATGCCAACGAATAAAGAAACACTACAACACCGATCTACTCTCAACACGATCCAGTACCCTTTTCGACGTGGCTCCCACATCGTCTCGAGAGTGGGGGGCTTGCGAGACAACTCCCACGAGGAGCCAACTCGCTCAGTACTACCACCCGCAGCGAGATAACTCCCACGAGGAGCCAATTCCCTTGGGTCTACGAAACCATAGCGAGATAACTCCCACGAGGAGACCACTCGCTCCGTCCTATAACCCGTTGCGAGGTAACTCCCACGAGGAGCCAACTCCCTCGGGTCTCATAACCATAGCGAGATAACTCACACGAGGAGACCACTCGCTCCATCCTACGACCCGCAGCGAGGCAACTCCCACGAGGAGCCAACTCGCTCGGTACTACGAACCCGCAGCGAGACAACTCCCACGAGGAGCCAACTCGCTCGGTACCACAACCCGCAACGAGACAACTCCCACGAGGAGCCAACTCGCTCGATACTACAAATCCGTTGCAAGGCAACTCCCACGTGCAACCACATCACTCGATAAATATTACTCACCGCGAGACAACTCCCATGAGGAGACAACTCGCCCGAAATTCACTATATAATCACAAGCTAAAGTTAGCACGATTACAACCCTAGAAGCACTTAGAGACATTATGAGAATCTATATAGCCTGGCCAGCTTGATTACTCAAATTTATCTACTTGTTTTCGATGGGTCATTCATTAAAACGTGGCCACGGTCCAAACATACTTAAGACCCACGAGGTCTAACAAGGGGCACGACCCCCATAAAAAAAATCTTGAGAGTCTGATCCCCTCCTCAAGTACATCACGCACAAGGCTATATGTAAACACATATAAGCAACGCGTCAAAACATTGACAATGTCGAAAAATAACAACTCCCACGAGGAGAATACTAGCTCCGTGCTACTACATTATCGTGAGACAACATCCACGAGGACGTAACTCGATCAACTCGATTACCCTAGAGACAACTTCCACGAGGACGTAACTCGATCAACTCGATTACCCCATAGACAACTCTCACGAGGAGATTACTTGATCCGTGCTACTACATTATCGCGAGACAACTCCCACGAGGAGATAACTCGATCAACACTATTACTCCGCGACAAGACAACTCCCACGAGGAGATAATTCGCTACTACATCGTCGCGGGACAAAACCGACGACTCAATTAACTTACATCGCGACGACCTTGTCGCGCTATGCGCCAACGCGCATTCACGCCCCTCCGACACACGCTCCAACGCGTTTTCGCATACCATTTAGGTCATACGCCAACGATCGACTTCTACAATTTTTACTCTCGACACGATTTGAGACCCATCACAACATGGCCCCCACATCGACTCGAGAGTGGGGGGCTTAATGATATGCCCAATTGGGCAACCCAATGGGCCTACAATTTCTTTACCTACTGGGCTACGAGCCCAATATCGAAGACTAATATCACCGAGGCCCAAACACCTTCAAGTAAGGTTTGGGCCCAACAAAGCAAACCCAACCCAATAAACGACATATAAATAGAGGTTTTACTCATTTTATTAAGGTAGGTCCTATTATCTGAGCAATACTACTAATGGTATTCTCTGGACTATTTCTATGATCAGCACGTCTGACTTGAGCGTCGGAGGGGTTTCCGCCGGATCAACCCCCGGCTTAGCTTATGTGTTCTATGATCGCAGGTACCTCAGGATCATCAAGTTGTCAAGCTACTGATCTGCTTTGCTCTCCCAGCTCGTTTTCTACACCACCCTAGGTGAGCTAGTAATTAGCATCATCAATAAGATATAATATATATTATATTTATATTATATTTATATACCCACTTGTTGAGATTCTTCTTTCCATTGATACTTGTATTATTTTAACTTTTGTAAAGTCATTTTCGTTAAAGTGGAGTCCACTTGTGTGTGTGTGTGTGTGTGTGTGTGTGTGTATATATATTACATTTTCTTTTTCGTTCTTTGCTCCCCGAGATGAATATAAAATTTCAAAGAAGCGAAGTACACTACGGTGTTGTTATATTGTTAATTGAATCCGAAGTTATTATGAGAGGGATGAGTTAAATAAAATTTATATTTATATTGTTTCACATATATTAAAGCTCAAAACTTAAAAAGAATCCTCAAATTAAAGCACACCGCTGCGAAATGTCCATACATGCATTTCTCTCTCTCTCTCTTTCTCTCTCTCTCGTGCACAGCGCGGTGCGAAACAGCAGCTCGCCTGATAAATGATAATCATGATCTAATATTTATTACATTTGCATCCCGTGGGATTTGGTCTCATCTGTTCTTGATCCCTGCAATTTGTATTGTTTTAATTTAATTAAATAAAATATAATATAATATAATATTATGATGGGACATGACATGGCATGACAATACATGCCGCCTGTCAAAACAAGTTTATTAACTGATGAAACCGGGCCAGCTTTGTTGCTTAATTCAGACACCCTGATCATCTTTTTGTTTTGTAATTTTGCTTTTGAGATAATTATGATAAATAAAATTTTAAATATATGAGCATGCAATATATATATATATATATATATATATATATATATATATATATATATATATATATATATATATATATATATATACTAGGTACGGAACACCGCGCAAGGCGCGCCCTGTCGTCATATTTGCACGCATTGATCGGTTATTACAACGGGGTTGATGATGCGAATGCACAATGTTATACTGTGTAATCCCCAAAAGGCTATAAATTTTTAGTTAATGTGCTTAAAACATAACAAAAAACGCGAATTTAAAAAAAAAAAAAAAAAAAAAAAAAACCCTTTAATCAGCTCTCGGGCGCCTTTCCTTTCACCCTGTCAGTTTGGAGGCCACGCATTTCCGCCATTGCCTATTTCGCATCGCAGCTCCGTCATTCAGGTAGCCTTTAACGGAAGGCAGAAAATTAACTCCTGATTAATCAGTTTTCCTTAACACATAAATGAGTTTGTATTTTGACAATTATTTGTGCAACAACAAATTCCCTTGTTTCTGAGGGAGTGGACCCCACACCACCCTCCGTAGACAACTTCAAATCATCACTTTCCATCGCCACACTCGACACAAATTTACCTAATCGTAAAAAAAAATAAAAAAATGCAGCCTAAAAATCAATATAATATATATCACACTAATTCATCAGCTTATTTTTTCGAGAAAAAGGAAAGAAATTTATCGTGTTACCATTTGATGGCGCGACAGAATATTTCGGCAGCCTCCAATTATTCTTCACACACATATACTCCAAGTCCTGAGAATATAATACACATTTTTTAATTTAATGATTTATTTATTTAAAAAAAAATAAAAAAGAAACAAATTTGTATAGGAACATAATAACTTGACATGAAGATCTACCCGGGAGAAAAATGTCAGGTGATTTTGTTTGCTTTGTGGATTTACGGTTGTCGTGATTTTCATTCTTGAGCAGCAAATGACTCTTCACAGTTAGGATTGATTCAATAAATTTACGAGCTAAACCAACTTCACCACCTATCGAAATATACAAATTTCAATTTATTTATTTTATTAAAAAAAAAAGCAAAATCGACAAAAGATAAAAAAGACTGCGAAAAAATGGCGTATGGTCCCTTATTCGTTTAATGTCATCTTAATATAACGCATACTCATCTTCCATAGTGCAGATTTGAGAACACTGCCGCGACAAATATAAATTACGACACGATACTTATTACATTATAAACATTACCAGTTGTTGCCTTTTCCGATAAAGAATTGCCAAGCCATTCTGGAAATCCTCCGAATTCTGCACGTTTTTCACTTCCGTATTATTCGTCGCCTCAAATTGAACAAGTCAATTCTCTTTTACAGCAATCCCAGTTTGATTATCGGACAAGATTTCCACGTCATCATATTCCTTTCTTGCATTACTATCCTCACTAATAATCGGTGAAATCTTTGGACATCCACTCGGAGTTCCATTTGTTTATGCATTTTGAGATTTTTTCCCACTATTCGGTAATAAAACCTTTTTAGCAGAATCCACATTGTCACATTTTTTATTTCGATTTCCCGTAACTGCCTACATTGAGTTCGCCGCCATAAAACTCAACGGTTACACCTACTTGTTTAACACTATACTTCGATTCTGCCCTCCTAAAAGGAACATCAGCTATAACAATTCCGTCAAAAACGGCTCCACAGATTAAAACAATCGAGAATTATTACACGTAATAGTAATTCTTGATAATGGATAATGAGAGATGTTCAATACCGGTAATATCCTTGACAACATCAAAAGCAAGCTGCAGAGAGACTGGCTATCATTATCCAACACCTTCCTTTTCCTCTTATTACCGTTCCCTTGTTCCATCACCTGCATAAACTTCATCACCGTACGGAGAGCCACCTCTTATCGAATCCATTTTAAACATACATGCTCCAAATGTATATCCAATCAGAACAAAAAGCATTATGTATCTGCTAGTTGAGTAATTGCAGTTCACCTAAATCGGTTAACGTGAGAATTGAATCAAATTTTATCATATGAAAAAACACATGTTCGTTCTTATCATCTTACGATTACATACGAGGACCCTGTTTCATCAAAGAGACAACAAAGATGTACAGCAAACAACAAAACTAAAAGAGTGATCTACCGTTAACTAAGAAGTTCAGCCAATCATTGAATTGTAAACCGAAAGTGAAAAGGCCTCGTTTGGTTAATCACAATTGTGGGTTGGCTTGAAAAGTTGATGGACTAAGCATACATCCAATACGGTCCAATTATTTGATTAACCGTGACTATACCAACCAAACGAGGCCAAATAATATATAAAACAACGGCACGAAAATGCCTTTAAAAACAATGTGGGGTTCGTGTATATTTCTTGTGATTGTACATTATGCTCCGGTGGTCAAAGAAATATGCTTCCATAAACACGTTACTCGATCTCATCATTCATGACTCCCATCAAACTAACACCAATAGTGAAGAGAAGAATGGATGATGAAAAAACACAAGTTCTAATGCACTTTGACATGTTCGTAATTGTGATTCTACTACTAATTAGGGTCGATGAAGCTAAAATTAAGAAGATGCAGCAGATAAGAGGTAAAAACATAACAACCGTTTTAGATTCTTATACCTCCACTATTATTATTTATTACTAACTGGTTTCAAAACGAGATATAACATACGAGTCGAACACGTTGTTCACACTAAAAGTCATCGATCTTTACGTTAAAATTCACAATTTCTTGCCAACATAAGGTGCATAATAACATATAGATTGATTGCTTTTCCATGATAGACCGTAGTCACCGAACAAAGATTCCTACTTGTTTCGTTCAAACGCTATCCCCGTATTTGGTAAATAAGTCCCCGAAAGAAATTTACTCTAGGAATTACGTACGGAAATCAGTTTAGCAGAAAACTCAGAAAAGTTGACCAATAAAAAACCCACCGTCATCAATCGTGCATCTTATTTAGAATTCACATTACTAATTTGCAAATATTTTAAAGAAACTCAATATACGCATTTCTTGCATTTGTATCGATGGAAACTCAATCAATCAACGGCTAATTCTTACTGCAAACGTTAATATTAAAACCGAACATATATCGAGTATCAAAACAAAGAAAATAATAAGAGCAACAACAGTAAGGGGGCCTTACGCAGTGGTCTATTGGTCGCCGCCTTGAGTGCCGGTGCTGACGAAAAATCCGGCTTGTTTTCTGGGCGAGTTTTTGCTCCTTCCATAGCTGCACAGACGAATCAAAGAAAGACTTCATTTGCGCAGCCATGGACCCGTACCTCGTCAGAAACCCGAAGAGAAACCCATCGGCGCCTGTCAAATCCTCCGGAGAACCGATTACGGGAATCGAATCGTCCTTCTGTGGGGCCAGCATTTTGGCGAGGACTTCATCGGGAAGGGTTTGGGGCACCCGGTAGAGCACGGCGTCGATGCCGCAGACGCTTCATCTGGCGGGCGAGGCCAGAGTTTGAGATTCCGATTGGGTTCGGAAGGAGCGAATCACCCTGTAAAGGGGCGACGGTCTTGAATTGAGAGGGAGAATTTCGTTGGAGAGTGAGGACCCATTGATTTACTACTGTTGCTCGTGTCTGGGATAATACTGGAGAGCATCCATCGATTGCCTCGCGCTGTCGGCGGCTGCACATGAGCTTTTGAGAGAGAGGGATGCGGAGTCGTCGGAGGAACTGGCGGCCAGCAGTCAACAATTGTGGGAAAAAAAAAAGAGAAGAACAAAAGAAAATGGAAAATAAAATAAAAACGAAGCAGGTTAAGCAGGAAGATTTAAAGTTGAAAACATATATGGAAAGGAAAATGAACAGGCGATGGTGATTGGAAGGTGAGGGAGAAACGGCGTCGTTTCACAAATAAAAGTGCAAAAGAAAAGCAAAAAGAAATGGGGGCGGGATTTTAGGGGCGATCGACATATATATGTACTTAATATATATATATATATATATATATATATATATATATATATATATATATATATATATATATATATATATATATATATATTCAGCGGTCTATGTAATGAGTCGACTACAACTTTGGGGTAAAAAGATAGTATATGACCACAACTATAGAACATGTAGTACTCTATAGTCATGTGTAGCTTTCAGTATAGTGAAAATTTTCGAATTTGAAAAAACAAAAAAAAAATTAAAAATTAAAAAAATATTAAAAAAATAAAAATTTAAAAAATTAAAAAATTAAAAATAAAAAAAAAAAAAAAAATCGAAAGATTAAAAGAAATAATTTATTAAACAATACAATAATAATAATAATAATAATAATAATAATAATAATAATAATAATAATAATAATAATAATAATAATAATAATAATAATAATAATAATAATAATAATAATAATAATAATAATAATAATAATAATAATAATAATAATAATAATAATAATAATAATAATAATAATAATAATAATAATAATAATAATAATAATAATAATAATAATAATAAAAACAGTAAAATAATATATAGAATAAAAAAACAAACAAAAAGAATTTTATTAAAATAAAAAATCAAAAAAATTATAAATGCAGACCCAAAATGCTGAATGCAGTTGGTGGAAATGTTGAATGCAGTTGGTGGAAATGCTGAATGCAGTTGGGCGAAAATTGCATTAAAAGGGCACAATAGTACTTTTGCCTCTCCAGGGGTGTATCTCAAAGAAAGAATTTTAGGGTTATTTTCCATATAAGAGGTGTATATCAATTGGACCTTTATATATTTTAATACTTGCCATTTTACTTTTACGTATGTAGATTAGCCCATGAATCCAAATTCGTTCAAAGATAAAAATACGTGTTCAATCCACATTATGTGTACATTGCAACAATCACTTCCCTTAAAATTAATCAAATAATGTATTTTTTTGGAATTTTTATAGGCATATATAGTACGATACAAATTAGAACTAAAAAAATGAAATTAAAGTGTACTTCTCTGTTGCCAATTTGCAGCTACTAACTCAAATGAACTCAAGTTGTTAAATTATTTTGTATGTTTGATCTTCTAAATTCTAATTAATAAATTTTAGTCATTAAACAATTCTATATTCTATGGTATATATATCAAATGGTGAGGTGTTCTAAAATATTTATTTATTTCACCAGGTTTTCTATTAATTTTATATTTTGGACAATGAAATATCCATTTTCATTGTTTTTGTATATTTTATTTTATGCTCAGTTTCCTCATTAGAATCACATGATAAAAATTTGCTATAGCTAAGAGAAAAAAAATATAATTAACAATAAGAGGTAATCCACAAATGTTGTTGTGTGTAATCTATTAACATTAGTTTCATAAGTGCTCAAATGTATGAAATCGTGGCTAGTCATTTTCTTAATATTTTTTATTTTTGATATAAAAAATAAAGTTTGTTTGGTGTAGTCCTCACTCCTCAGGGCATTTTCCCCCGATTAAAAAGATCATATTGCACAATATATTATTTGACATACTAATTAATAACACTTTAAAAATATTGATTGATATCTATTATTATATCTTAAGATAAATATTTGTTAATCAAATCTCCTTATTGAATATGATTTAAAAATCCAAATAAGTTATGAAGGAATGTTACATTAACCAAATCTCCTTATTGAACGCCGGAGACCGCCGGTCAACGCCGGTCCGGCGTTGACTTTTTTTTTTCTTTGAAAAAAATATTTTAATTAATATTACTGTCTAGGCTAATAAATTACTGTCTCATACAATAATATTACTGTTTGGGACAGTAATATTATGAATATTATTTTCCCGAACAGTAATATTATTAATATTTCTGTCTAAGCCAGTTAAATTACTTGGAGACAGTAATTTAGCAGCCAAGACAGTAATATTAATTAAAATAATTATTTTTAAGAAAAAAAAATTCAAAAAAAAAGCCAATTAATAGTTAAATTACTGTCTCCGACAGTTAAATAACTGTTGTAGATAGTAATTTAGCAGCCAAAACATTAATATTAATTAAAAATAATTGTTTTAAGAATAAAAAAGTCAATTAACAGTTAAATTATTGTCTCCGACAGTTAAATAACTGCTGGAGACAGTAATTTAGCAACGAATACAGTAATATTAATTAAAAAAATAAAAAAATAATAAAAAAAAGTCAATTAACAGTTAAATTACTGTATCCGACAGTTAAATAACTGCTGGAGACAGTAATTTAGCAGCCAGGACAGTAATATTAATTAAAAATAGTTTTGAAGAAAAAAAAAAAGTCAATTAACAGTTGAATTACTGTCTCCGACAGTTAAATAACTGTTGGAGACAGTAATTTAGTAGCCACGACAGTAATATTAATTAAAAAAAATTTAAGGAAAAAAAAAAGTCAACGTCGGGGACCGGCAGAGTGGTGGTGGGTCAAAATTGGGGTCAAAATTAAAATTATGATTAAAATTGGTTAATTGATGAAATTGGGGAGTAAATCATGAAATTGAAGTTGAATTGGATTTCAATGAATTAGGGTAATTTTGGTATATATAAAAGAATTTTCCTTATTTGCAAATAAATTTGAATGAGCTCGATTTATTTGAAAAACAAAAAAGTTGGATGTCCCTCTTTTAATTAAGTGCCCTTGTCATGGGCCTATTTGCCATTTACCCTATTAGTATTAGTATTAGGATTAATTACTATTGTCATTAGTATTAGGACAAACATTAGCATTATTATTACTATTGTCATTATATATATATATATATATATATATATATATATATATATATATATATATATATATATATATATATATATATATATATATATAAACTCTACCATTTTCCACTAGAATATTTACCACAAAATCCCATTATCTCCACTTTAAGTGAACGATACCTTCGTCCGAGTAAAACACCCGAATGTCAAAAGAAGCATGAAATTCACGTTCTTGGAGAAATAAATTAAGAGCGCTTATGTAAAAATAAATTAAAAAAAAAAAACAAATCAGAAGTTTTTGATATTGTTGTTTTCGGTGAAATAAATTTAAAAAATGGTATATGTTTTATTCTGCACAATCCGTCAGAAACTGGTTCAAATTGAAGGAAGCTTAGAATCTTGTTTTACCCTTTTAGAATTTATTACAGAAAAAAAAATAATAAATAAATAAATAAACATTAGAACATATGAGGATTAAGCGGGTATAAGGGAAAGTGGTGGATTACAAATTTAAAGGGTATTTATGTATTTTATATAAATTTGATGGTAAATTGAGATAATTTGGAGGTAAAAATAGCAACACTCGTATATAATCTATTCAATCAATAAGTTACTTATTTAACTTACATAGTAATTTCTTATTGAGTGGATTTTTCTTCAAAAAGTTCTTTGTCGTTTTGGCATTCCTTCTTCTTTTATTGATCTCGTTATGATGTGTGTTTCGACTGTCTCTTACTCTTTTCTGTTCAATGGCTCACAGTTTGGTTCCTTGTGCCCATCGAGAGGGCTTCGCCAAGGCGATCCCCTTCCCCATATCTATTCATTTGCTGTGCAGAAGCATTTATTGCAATGGTTCAAAAAGCAATTGAGCACGGCGAATTAACAGGTGTACAGGTTGCGCCATCAGCCCCGGTTATTTCAAATCTCTGTTTTGCCGATGATACACTTATTTTATGCCAAGCAACGGAGGCGAATGCTACAACTCTTCAAACCATTTTGAATAAATACGCAAGAACTTCTGGGCAAGTGATCAATTTTGAAAAATCAACGATGACGTTCTGCCCAACGACTACACAGGAAAGACGAGACGCAATTCAGCAAATCTTGGGGTTTCAAATTGTTGACCGACACGAAAAGTATTTGGGCATGCCCGCTAACATGGGCCGATCGAGGAAAGATATTTTTGCTTTTCTCAGGGATAGGATCTGGTCCAAAATCAAAGGATGGGCCGAGAAGCAACTTTCACAAGCCGGGAAAGAGGTTTTAATTCTTGCAAGCGATCCCATCATATATTATGAGTTGTTTCTTGCTTCCGGATAGTATCCTCAAGGAAATGGAAACATCTATCAGAAGGTACTGGTGGGGTGATGGTGAGAACCGTAAAATTCACTGGTTGGCGTGGAACCAACTATGCAAATCAAAGGCCGACGGAGGATTAGATTTTCGGGACATGAAATGGTTCAATATTGCATTGCTGGCCAAGCAAGTCTGGAGGATCTTGACTCAACCCCATCTTCTGCTCTCTAAGATTTTGAAAGCTCGCTATTTTCCCCGTTGCGATGTGCTTACGGCTGATATTGGGAGGCGCCCATCGGCGACTTGGCGGAGCATATGGATGGCTCGAGATTATTTACGGCTGGGAATTAGAAGGAGGATTGGTAATGGGCAATCTACTTCTATTTGGGCGGATCCATAGCTCTCCGTGTTAGAGTAGGTGACCAACAAGCCAACTTGTGGCTGTGGTCTTTCGTATTTATTATTGTAATAAACGAACCTTTATTCGTATTAATGATAAAACACATTGGCATTCTATATCTTTGTCCCTTTGTCACAAGCATAGATATAGTCCTTACAGTTATTACAAGTACTAGTAATTGATCGTTAGGATCGTGAGATATTTACTTAAGTATTATAACTGTTAAACCTGTTCCTAGTCGAAGGGTTACGCCACTAATGAGGATATCGGCCTTTCCCATTAAGACTAGCACTTAATGTATGTGTACTGCATCTCATCAGTAAACGGTATTGTGATATCGGCATGCATAAGTGGGTGCTCGTAAGTTGACGAGTTCACTGAACTCCCTCACCTTAGAAATCTCTAAGTGGTTCCCAATAATCGAGTAGAGATATCTATGGTATAGTTGTACACCATTAGTCCTTATGACCTAGACATCACCGTGACTTCACTAGAGGACCAGCTGTATCGTGACCTGTCCCTGAGTTCCACCGAGGACCATCC